ATGCTGACACCCACGTCACAGATGCTCAGCAGACTGCCACTGCGTCACGAGCGTGTCGCGAGGAGGAGCTCGAGCAGCAAGCGGAAGCAACGACATCGATCCAGGAACGGTGCATGCAAAGAGCATTTTTCAACCAACACGCTGAGCGGCAGTTTCGTGTCTTGTGCCCGCAGCACTTCATTCTATGACCAGCGAGCAACCAGCACCATTTTGGGGAAATGCTGTCTGAGGAGAGTGTGGCATCAGGTTAGGCATGCGTGAAGCACAGTGCAGCAATGTGGTTTGATGCGGAGCACTTGTTGCTGAGATTGTGTCAAACGACTGCAGGAGGATATGGCCGCGGACACAGACGCATCCACCTCGGCCTCGAACGAGGCAGACGAATAATCATGTTTTTCTGCATGTAAATCATGCTTCTCAGCGTCTTGCTTGTCGCTTGTGTCTCCATGGAGAGATCTTGATGATGAGTAAGAGTGCGTTTGCCAATATTTCCCAATTCTCTCCCTTCTATGCCACACGCACATGCAGCTGTTGAAGCTTATGCTACGACTGACACCCTTGTCACTGATGTATAACGGACTTCCGCCGTATTGGCCGCAAAGAGGGCATCACGCGAAGCATGTGCTGCGCTTGGAGGAGCTCGAGCAACAAGCGGAAGCAACGACTTCGATCCAGGAAAGGTGCTGCATGCTAAGAACATGTCTCGACCAACACGCTGGGCGTTAGTTTCTTGACTTGTGTGTCCGCAGGGCTTGCAGTCGGTCCGCAACTAGCAATCGCCACGTGCTCGTATCAACCTCTGACTCTATCACGAAGTATAATGGTTTTGGGGTTTTAGACCGAAATACACCGATATACACCGCGGGGGTAGGCGTTACAGGCTCACCTAAACGTGGGGAGTTGAGATGAGTTGAGGACCTATAACAAATTGCTGAACCTGCATCGAAGCTGTCTCTCTCTCTCTCTCTCTCTCTGTGATTCTCTGAGGATCAGGAACTCTGCGATTGCAAGCGCAGTGCGTGTGTCAGAACGTGCGAGTTGAGTTCGTTTCCCCTTTACAGTTTATCAGGGTTTTCTTAGGACTGCAAGAATTGCCAGCAGGGGTCGTAGGAACTGCAGCCTGGATGGAGAAGCAGGCCGTGTATGCCACATATCGCGGCTGCCAAAGAAAATTTGAAAATAAAGCACTGGGCAATGGGAGCGTTCAGAGATTACCCCCTAATATTGCGCATTGTGCCAGAGAATATGGTAAGACGTTAGGGAAGGGCGGGGGCTTGACTTAACAGCAGGGGGAAGAGAGATTGAGCAGATGCTGTTTGAGGACACAGTGGCATCAGGTTAGGCATGCCTCAAGCACAAGACAGCAAAGCGTGGAGCACTTGTGGCTGAGTCCGTCTCATGCCTGTTCCAGACAACTGCAGGATAATTTGGCCGTGGACACAGACGCATCAACCTCGGCCTCGACGGAGGCGGACAAATCATGCTTCTCTAGGTCTGGCTTCTGTGTCTATGGGAGGGTTCTGGATGTTGCATATGAAGGCTGCGGGCTCATTCCCTTCTACCCCAGACGCGCATACCCTCATGACTGATGGAACATGTGCCGCGCTTGGAGGAGCTGGAGCAACAAGCGGAAGCAACGACGTCGATCCAGGCAATGGGTGTGCAGAAGAAGAACTGTTATCGTCACACATGCTGGGCGAAAGTGTGTCTTGTGCCCACAGTGCTTCCAATCTTTCCACAGCCAGCAACCAGCACCGTTTTGGGGAGATTGCTGTCGGCGGAAAGTGTGGCATTAGCTTAGGCATGCCTGAAGCACAATGCATCAATGTGGATGACTCGGAATTTGTATGGCTGAGTCCGTCCAATGTCGGTCCCAGAAAACTGCAGGAGAACATGGCCGTAGACACAGATGCATCAACCTCGGCCTCGACGGAGGCAGACAAATCATGCTTCAGTGCGTCTTGCTTGTGTGTCCATGGGAGGGTTCTTGACGTTGCATACAAAGTCTGGTTGCTAATCCCCCCGGTCTACTCTTTACACGCATGCAGCTGTTGAAGAGAATGCTACCGCTCACGCGCTTGTCACTGCTTGTTGACAGACTGCCACGGCATTAGCATCCACTAGCCGTAGCGAGCTCGTCACGCGAAACAGTTGCTGCGCTTGGAGGAGCTCGAGCAACAAGCAGAAGCGACGACGTCGATCCAGGAAAGGGGGTACATGCAAAGAACATGCCCGTCCATATGCTGGGCGACAGTTTTGTACCTTGTGCCTCACAGTACTTGCATTCTATCACCACCCAGCAATTAGCACCATTTTTGGGAGATGCTGTCTGCGGAAAGTGTGGCATTAGATTAGCCATGCCTGAAGCACCATGCATAAATCTGGATGATGCGGAACACTTGTGGCCGCGTCTGTCTCATGCCGATCCCATACGACTGTAGGAGAACATGGCCGTGGACACAGACGCTTCAACCTCGGCCTCGACGGAGGCAGACGAATCATGGTTTTCTGCATGTAAATCATGCTTCTCTGCTTTTTGCTTGTGGCTCCATGCGGTTCTTGATGTTACCGATGTTTAACAGACTGTTACTGCATTAGCCGCAAAGAGTGTGTCGCGTAAAGTATGTGCTGTGTCTGGAGGAGCTCGACCAACAAGCGGAAGCAACGACGTCGCTCCAGGAAAGGGGGTGCATTCGGTACATGCAAGGAACATGTCTCGTCCAACACATTGGGCAGCAGCCGCGCGTCTGCGTGCCAACAGCACTTCCAGTTCATCTGCAGCTAGCAGCCAGCACTGTTTTGGGGAGTCTGCAATGCGTCAACGTGGATGACTCGGAATTTGTAACGGCTGAGTCCGTCCCATGTCGGTCCCAGAAAATTGCAGGAGAACATGGCCGTAGACACAGATGCATCAACCTCGGCCTGGACGGAGGCAGACAAATCATGTTTCAGTGCGTCTTGCTTGTGTGTCCATGGGAGGGTTCTTGATGTTGCATACAAAGTCTGGTTGCTAATCCCCCCGGTCTACCCTTTACACGCATGCAGCTGTTGAAGAGAATGCTACCGCTCACGCGCTTGTCACTGCTTGTTGACAGACTGCCACGGCATTAGCATCCACTAGCCGTAGCGAGCTCGTCACGCGAAACAGTTGCTGCGCTTGGAGGAGCTCGAGCAACAAGCAGAAGCGACGACATCGATCCAGGAAAGGGGGTACATGCAAAGAACATGCCCGTCCATATGCTGGGCGACAGTTTTGTACCTTGTGCCCACAGCACTTGCATTCTATCACCAGCCAGCAATCAGCACCATTTTTGGGAGATGCTGTCTGCGGAAAGTGTGGCATTAGATTAGCCATGCCTGAAGCACCATGCATCAATCTGGATGATGCGGAACACTTGTGGCTGCGTCTGTCTCATGCCGATCCCATACGACTGTAGGAGAACATGGCCGTGGACGCAGACGCTTCAACCTCGGCCTCGACGGAGGCCGACGAATCATGCTTTTCATGTAAATCATGCTTTTCTGCTTGTTGCGTATGGCTCCATAAGGTTCTTGATGTTGCATACAAAGTCTGGTTGCTATTGCTAATCGTTGCCTTCTACGCCAGACGTACATGCAGCTCTTTAAGATCATGCCACCACTGACACTCTTGCCACCGATGTTTAACAGACTGCCACTGCATTCGCCGCAAAGAGTGTGTCACGCAAAGTATGTGCTACGCTTGGAGGAGCTCGACCAACAAGCGGAAGCAACGACGTCGATCCAGGAAAGCGGGTGCACTCGGTGCGTGCGAAGCACATGTCTCGTCCAATGTTCTGGACACCTTTTTTATATCTTGTGCCCACAGCAGTTGCATTCTATCACCGGAGCAAGCAGCACCGTTTTGGGGAGATTGCTGTCTGCGGAAAGTGCGGCAGTAGCTCAGGCATGCCTGAAGCACAATGCATCAATGTGGATGAGTCGGAATTTGTATGGCTGAGTCCGTCCCATGTCGGTCCCAGAAAACTGCAGGAGAACATGGCCGTAGACACAGATGCATCAACCTCGGCCTGGACGGAGGCAGACAAATCATGTTTCAGTGCGTCTTGCTTGTGTGTCCATGGGAGGGTTCTTGATGTTGCATACAAAGTCTGGTTGCTAATCCCCCCGGTCTACCCTTTACACGCATGCAGCTGTTGAAGAGAATGCTACCGCTCACGCGCTTGTCACTGATCATTGACAGACTGCCACGGCATTAGCATCCACTAGCCGTAGCGAGCTCGTCACGCGAAACAGTTGCTGCGCTTGGAGGAGCTGGAGCAACAAGCGGAAGCAACGACGTCGTTCCAGGAAAGGGGGTGCATGCAAGGAACATGTCCCGTCCATATGCTGGGCGACAGTTTTGTTCCCACAGCAGTTGCATTCTATCACCAGCCAGCAACCAGCACCATTTTGGGGAGATGCTGTCTGCGGAAAGTGTGGCATTAGATTAGCCATGCCTGAAGCACCATGCATCAATCTGGATGATGCGGAACACTTGTGGCTGCGTCTGTCTCATGCCGATCCCATACGACTGTAGGAGAACATGGCCGTGGACACAGACTTTTCAACCTCGGCCTCGACGGAGGCCGACGAATCATGCTTTTCATGTAAATCATGCTTGTCTGCTAGGAGTGCCCGAAGCACCATGCATCACTGTGGATGATGCAGTAATCTTGTGGGTGGTGTCGCCAGACTTAACCAGCACAACCCTACTGGGATGCCAGGATGTGGCTTTGTAGAATCCCTCTAGCGGCTCTAGCGGTCTCCGCGCTAATGCGGATCGCGACAGTTGCATCAGCTCCCCGGCCACGAGTCCTACACGTGTCAGAGAGGCTTAAACCTTGATGGAAGTCAGGTATGTTTTTTGCTTGAGGGCTACTGTCGGCTCGGCTTCGCTTTGGTTCTGTTGCCTCGCTGGACGAAGGCCCGGTTGACGGAAGCACTTGAGCATCAAATTGACCCTGTGTGTTTAGCAAGGCATGTTTGATTCTCTATCGGTGTGCTCGTATGCATCTAAGATCATCCAGGACGCAGTGGAGGAAGCGGAAACGAATGCCGCACAAGCAGAGGAGACAGCCACAACTACAGCGCTGGGCATGCAGGCCACGTGCAGCGTTTTAACAGTGCTCCCGGGGCTACTTATCCTTTTCCGTTTCCTTGAAGGAGCATCCGCAGTCAAGCGAGCCCCCTGTCGCCCTGGCGCCGCCGCCGTCGGCCAATGCCACTGCGCAAAAGAAAGATCATCAAAAGCAGGTCCAACACTTTATCGATCTGTGCTTGCTGCGAGCTGCAAAGACGGGGAACTTGCAACAGGCCCAGGGAGTGCCAGAGCCGCAGCTGGCGCACTTGGCGGCAGAGGACGGGCTGATGGGCATGGCATGGCTCTGAACGGCACAGGCTTCAGTTTCCGAATCCAGGCTGGCGCAAAGCTCGAATCGGAGTTACAAGCGGACTTCGAACGCGCACACGAGGTGTGCAGAGTGTGCCGAACGCGCTGTGCTAAGTCCTCGTCGTGCCGAAGCTGCCCTTCTGCAGGCAAGCGGCAAGTACAGGGCTGCTCAGACCGAGATCGCAAAGGCTTCGGTTGGGGAGGGCTGCACAGCCGCAGATGTGGCCACATCAGTTTCGCAAGGAACTGAAAGCTCTGAGCAATGGCACCCAGAACTTGCAGGCAGGCACGGCAGCTGTGCAATCTGCCCCACGGTGGAACACGTACGTGTCTCGTCTCTCTCCCTCTCCCTCTCATATCCTCTCATATGTCTTTGGAGCTTGCTGCACTTCTTTCTGTGTAGTTGCCGGTTCTCCGCATGCCCGCCGCCGTGTTTACCATCCACTATCCAGTTTGCAGAGAAGTCAACAAATTCGGGTTTGTCCTCTGCAAAATGGCTTGGAGACGTGGCCGGCGGGAAGGCGCGGAGAGGATTGGGAGTTGGAGAGAATGCGCACTTGAACATTGTAGATGCATGTGGTAGATGCACCGCGAGCGTTTCCTGACAGCATGTTGGCTACGAGAGTCCCAGAGGTAGAGCATAGCAGCCAGAGCAATGGGGACAATAGGATCACTTTTTCTCTTCCTCCAGATCCTCTATGGAAAAGGCCTGGCGCAGGCCGTGGTGGAACTTGCAGCTGTGAAAGAGAAAGAGACCCATGAGCCTCGTATCATCCTCCGCTATGAGTCTGGTTCAGCGATATCCCTGCATGAGCGTCATGACCTGAGTTTGCATCACAATGCACGTGGTGTTTTTGACTGCAGCATACAGCAGAATTGCACAGGCGTTGGTATGAAAGTATGAAGTCTTCTTGCTGAGGTGTGAAGCATCTCGAGCATCTCTCTGGGGTTCGACGAGCAGAAGTGCTACCGAGCCTAGACATGGCTGTCGTCGCATGTGACGCAGATGCACAGGAGGACGACATGATGGAGATTCTCCAGGCGCAGGATGGCGTTGAAGTTGCAGTACCAGACACTTGGCTCCAGTTGGACGAGTTGCATGCCGAGAAGCGTCCTGAGCGTCTCTGTTCTGCGAATCCTCAATGTAGCGCAATTGGGCTCCGTGGCTTGTGCTGTCCAACTCCTGATGGACTGCACCTGGGGTGCTGCGACGACAATCGTGGTGCCGCCCCCTTGCCTAGACATCGTGAGCACGGCCTCAGCACAATTTCATTGCAGAGCTGGCACGGTGGCTTTATGGCCGGGATGCCTTGGGGTGCGGTCGGATTCTATCCCAACAAGCTTCATCCGGATACGCATTTCTTCGTGGTTGCACATGATGACGGATACAATTCTTTGAAGACCCAGTACGGAACTTATGTGGTTGCAACACCGTCTGGTAGACTGGCATTGTGGCACCGCGGACATCCGGAGGCAGACGACTTCGAGAAGTTCAAGTTCATCTACAACAAGGATGGCACACTTACTCTCCGAAGCAAGATTTCGGACATGTATGTTGCAGCAGAAGACCCTTTGTGGGGAGTGCTCTCAGCCGACAGGGATGAGATTGATGATTGGGAAAAGTTCAACGTCACTTTCACACACGGCAAGGACACCGTTATTCCGAATGATGCCTCCCTGGATAGGCTTTGGGGATTGCATCATTACGGTGACCGGGACATTGATGCTGCAGAGGCTTGGAGAATAGCTCATGCGCCTTCCCCAGAGGGGATTGTGGTTGCAGTGATTGACACCGGGATCGACTACACGCATCCGGACCTCAAAGATCAAATGTGGGTCAATCCCAACGAAATCCCAGACAATGGCATCGATGATGATGGCAATGGGATCGTGGACGACATTCACGGAGCCGATTTCGCCAACAATGATGGAGATCCTATGGACGACCAAATGCATGGAACACACTGTGCAGGAACTATTGCAGGCTTGCTTGCTTACTCGCTGTTCGCTCGCTGTTTGCTCGCCAATCGCTCACTAGTCGTGTGCTGCTCGCTCGCTCCTCGCAGTTTGCCCCGCTTTGCATCGCTTCGGTGGCGGTATCTTTTCGGTATTTTTTTTCAGTTTTTTTTGGTATTTTTTTTCCGGTCTCCTGCCCAAGCAAGCAAGCAAGTTACGGCAAGCAAGCAAGCAAGCAAGCAAGCAAGCAAGGAGGGCAGGAAGCAAGCAAGCAAGCAAGCAAGGAAGGCAGGAAGCAAGCAAGCAAGCAAGCAAGCAAGCAAGCAAGCAAGCCAGGAAGCGAGCAAGCAAGCAAGCAAGCAAGAAAGGAAGCAAGGAAGGAAGGAAGCAAAGGCAAGCAAGCAAGCAAGCAAGAAAGGAACCAAGGAAGGAAGGAAGGAAGCAAAGGCAAGCAAGCAAGCAAGAAAGGAAGCAAGTAAGGAAGGAAGCAAAGGCAAGCAAGCAAGCAAGCAAGCAAGCAAGCAGGCAAGGAAGCGAGGAAGCGAGGAACCGAGGAAGCGAGGAAGCAAGCACGGAAGCGAGGAAGCGAGGAAGCAAGCAAGCAAGGAAGGAAGGAAGGAAGCAAAGGCAAGCAAGTAAGCAAGCAAGAGTGGAAGCAAGGAGGAAAGGAAGCAAAGGCAAGCAAGCAAGCAAGCAAGCAAGCAAGCAAGCAAGCAAAGAAGTTAGCAGGCAAAGAAGGAAGCAAGGAAGGAATCGAGGAAGGAAGCAAGCAACCAAGCTTCGCAGCGCATGCCTGTAGAGCAGAAGCATCAGAAGCGTATCTGTAGACTGTGATATACATATATATATATATGTGTATATATATGTATATATTATTTGCATATCGACACATACACACATACACTCACATACGCATACACACACACACACATATATATATATATATATATATATATACATATACATACATATACTTGCGCACAAATGTATATGCAACAAGTAGCTGAATGTCTATGCGTATATGAGCAACTATGCCTACATAACACGATTGGTTTAAAGCTGCGGCGTTTCACCGCCCAATCCCAACTGATAAAAGCACAATATGGATGAATTATGATCTTGTGCATCGGCTGATTGCACAATATCTAGGCATTGGGCCGTCCTGCTTGTTCCCCTGACAGCGGCCGAACTTCCGCTCGAACTTCCACCTTGAAGTGCAAAAAGTGAACATCTCGAAGCCCACTGCAACAAGCTCTGCGACGTTTTAGACTCACTTGTCTATATATGGCCAAGTAGACAGGGAGAACAGTCGACGTTCTTAACGGCCACGCTTCCAACCGCAAACGGTGAAAGCTCGGAGTAGCACGCTGTGTGTCGCCGAAGTGCACGTAGTGGAACGACGTTCACGCCGAGGTGCTTCGGAGTACTACAATCAATCAGTTTCAATCAGTGCTGTTGTTCGCCGACAAATGAGGCAAATCGTAATCCCAATAGAAGTGTTTACTACTGTGATCATCAGGAGAATTCCCGAAACTTTGTCCATCTTTCCCACGTCAATCAACAGGCACAAGCCTGCAATCTCATCTCTTGCATCAGCAGCCCCACAAGACCCGATAGGGCATTGAAAGGAATGCAGATGAAGCTACCCGGCGTTTCTGCGAAGCATGACTGCTTGTTTACATATTTTCCAAGCCATTCAGTCTCCACCCTAAACCCACGGCCCATGAACAACGACCCCACAAGAGTCCAAAACCCAAAAGCCTGAACCGCTGCTGAGGAAAGATTTCCACGAGCCCGAAGGGCAAAGCGTGGCAGGATTTGTGAGAGAGGTGCTGAAAAGCCCGCGGTTTGAGGATTGTACTACCCCTATAGGAACAGGCAAGCGGAAAAAAAATACCAAATAAAACGAAAAAAAATACAGAAAAAAACGCACGACCCATCGCTTCGTGCTTTGTGCGAATTCCGATCATGTTCGAGTGACACAGAAACAGGCAGGCATGCACACCACAGGTTGACGGGTAGAGGTTTCCAGGAATGATATCAGCATGTTTCAATGCTCGTGACGTATCGTTCTCATGCAGTCGTGGCCTACACGTACCTGAAAGTGTTGAGATCAATCTGTTGAGGCAATGGCAACAACTCCATTGGAGTGGCTGGAGTGGCTTGGCAAGGAGTTCGGCTCATGGCCATGAAGTTTTTGTCTGCTTCTGGTGGTGGACGTACCTCCGATGCCATCAAATGCCTGAACTATGCTGTGGCCATGGGCGCGAAGCTGTCCAGCAACTCCTGGGGAGGCGGTGGATCTTCTTCGGCAATGCGAGCCTGCTACTCAGTCGTATCTTAGCAGGAGAGTGGCTCGAGCTGTCATGCTTACTTGCTCTTTCCGGGTGTTCCATGCAGTTCAGGTGGCAATTGAGCGCGCGGAGCAAGCCGGAATGCTGTTCATTGCCGCCGCCGGCAATGAAGGGTCTGACAATGATGAATTCCCACATTATCCCTCCAACTATCCCACGGCTAACATTGTGTCCGTAGCATCCACAACAAAGACTGGGTCATTGTCTTCTTTTTCATGCTACGGGAAGACCACGGTGGACCTGGCAGCTCCAGGCAGCAGCATCTACTCCACGGTTCCGAACAACAAATACGCTTCCCTGAGTGGGACATCGATGGCCACGCCACATGTCAGCGGGCTTGCAGCATTGATTTGGCTGCATCGTCCCCAACTTACGATGCCTCAGGTGAAGCGCATCTTAATGGAGTCCACGACAAAGGTGGATGCACTTCAGAACAGCAGCCTCACGGAGGGCCGCATCAATGCACGACGTGCTCTGATCTTGGCTGCATCATACGACGCGCTCTATCCGCCCGTAAACCAGCCTCAGAGTCTAGCCTTCACTGATACCGACCCAGAAGTTGGACGAATAGGCGGAGTTGCTCACATCACTGCAGCCGCGGATGAAAGCGATATTGCCTACTACAGTCTGCACTTCATGTCTGTCGCTGGGTTTCTGATGGAACGAGTTGGTAGAGTCAATGCATCGGGGGCAGCCTCCCTGCAAATCGCACTTCAGAACGTGACCATCCCGAAGTATGTCACGAGCTTGGCCGTAGTTGCAGCCAACAAGAGTGCAACTGCCGGACCCTCAAAGGCAGCCGTCGTTGACATCAAAGACTACGGGGTTCCCAAGTACGGACCCGGAGAAGTTTCTTGGGGCGGTGATGTGGACGGGCGGTTGGGTTACATTGCGGGGCAAATCCAGTTCCGGCGAGCAAAGGCGGAAAGCAGCATCACGCACTACAATCTTTACTGGAAGGATGAAGCCCGATCCTTTCTGGGAAAGGTGCCTGCGTCTGGTTTCGCGACTCCATCTTGCGAAGGAGACTGCTCGCTGGTGAACACCAACATCACTGGAGATGTCTACACGTTCCACCGAGGAGCTTACACGAACAATGAGATGGCGGCTATCACTTTCAGTGGCCCTGCCACAGTGTGGCTGACCAGCTTCCGGACCGAAAAGTATTACGACTACCTCGAGATCGGTGGCCAGCAGTTGTCAGGAACACGCTTGGTACTCCCCATGCGATTTGACCTGGAGAGTGGTCCACAAAGGATCACGTGGTCCAGTGATCGTTCAGAGGTCGAGGAAGGATGGACGCTGGATTTGTTGCAGACGGGTTCAGTGGCCAGCTATGATTTGCAGCCTTTGGCGCCGCCAAGTTGGCATGTGGAGGTGGTCTCTGCCTATGCCGATACGGAGGGCCAAAACGCCTCGCAGGGTGAGCTCTCGGACTTCGATGCATCCAAGATGCCACCTTCTGCGGCTTTGAGGCCACGTCGGTTGAGCTTCGTTGATGTCGATGTGCAACAGGGCATCATCGAGGGTCACATCCAGTTCTTGCCGCCACTGAGCTGCGAGGACACCATCACCTTCTACAAAGTCTTTGTTGCAGATGCTCGGGGCGAGGCAATCGATGGATTTCAATGGACATTGCCTGGGACACAGAACTGCTCTGCCTTAATGCAGGTGACTGTTGAACGCACACCAGTTCCGGCTGATGCAGTGCAGATTACTGTCATAACAGGGAACCAGAACGGCGAGGGTCCATCTCAATCACTGCCGCTTGTGGACATTGTCAGGAGTGCTCCCGTCAATGCTACCTTCACAGGAGACTCAGATCCTGCCCGGAATCAGGTCAAGGGCGGCATTAGAATCACGCCTGCAGCAAACCCAACGGGAATACGTTCATATGCAATCTACTTCGTCAACGGCACTTCAAAGGAGAAGCTTTTGGGGCGGGTCGCGGCCGCGTTGGATGAGGTCGTCGTTTACGAATTCCACATCATTGTGAAGACATCGCTTCGCGACTTGCTTGTTGTAAGTGTCTATGAAGACATGGAGATGGATGAGGGCATCTTCCTGCACTTCGAGGACGTGTATGATGACCCGGACCCGGCAGAGGATGACGGACGCAGGCTGGCTGCTGGGACGTCAGATTTGGAGCCGTGGTTGCGCAGACCACAGCCGCCAGCCTGGAATGAAGTCCAGCTGCTCTGGACCGAGCCCAGCACCGGGGAATTGCAGACGAAGAAGTCCGCCATTGAAGTTCGAAGCGACAAGAGAGTCATGGGATCGCTAACCATACCAGGCATCCTTGGCAGTGTGAGCACGTCAGGCACACGGCCAACTTTTGTACCACCAAGTCTCGAAGCGAGGAAAGCACTTGTCTCGGTGCTGGCAGAGAGTTTGCCAGCAGTGTCCCAGGAGCAGGTGCGGCTTACAAAGGGCCAGATGCTTACATGCCGGGCCGCTGTACGGTCGAAGCAGTTGAAATTCCGAGCACCGCCAGACTCGTTAGATGGTGCATGCCTGGTGATCAACTTCGAGGTGTTGCCTGACGCCAATCTGGCATTTCATGCCAAGCATTCGCAGGATTTCCTTGACATGGTCGAGGCCAGACTGATCGCCTTGCACCGTGGGAGCTCAGCCGCGCAGAAGATGACTGATCTGCTCAGAAAACGCTTGCAGGGAGTGATTGCGGCCACAAATGGAGTTTGGGCAGTGGTGGGTGAACCACAGCAGATTGCACCAAAGGTGCATGCTGACTCCAGGTCATTGACAAGCATCGGCCTCGGTGAAGAATGGGAGGATGAGACCGAGCTTCCCGAGGAAGCCAGTCCGCTGATGCTTATTGGAGCACTGCTTGGTGGAGTCACTGCGGCTAGCTGTGCAGCACTACGCTTGGTGAAGTACCGGAAAAGTCTGGTGAAAGAGCCCATGGCCGCCATGGCCGTGACGCCCCAAGTGGATCCGGTGCAGCCGGAGACCTCCGACTCGCTTGATGTCAGCCTACAGCTCGGCGAACGAAATGAGTGACGAAGCGACAGAAGCCAAATCCATACTATGTACATGACTTTTACTGCTCATCTCACCTGAAGGTGGGCTGTGGATCGAGTTGCGCACGAGATGTGCGCAGCGTCAAACTCCACGACGAATTCAAACTCATTGATACAGAGTCCATTTCGCACAAATTGGCGAGAGTGATTGACTTCAATTTTTGTTGTGCCAAGAACATGCAATATTTTGTTCGGCTACCCGCTGCCTGCACGTGCTCTGGGCCAGACGTGGACTCTCTAAGATCTCCACGAATCTGTCCTAGGCTTGGTACACCTGGTACGCAATAGGCTCAGAGGTCCGTATAAAGCGAGCCCCTCTGACATTGACCTTTGAAAGCGCAGTACTGAAGAGCTCGAGTGAAATCTACAACAGGGCGCTTGTTTTGTGCACGCAATGCCGTTCCGGCGGGCAGGCGGTTGACTCATGTCTAAGCAAGACCAAGAAAGCTCTTGACAGGTGGTGCTGGCAGGATTTCACCATCTGCGAGAAAGGCGTTTAGGTGAGAGATGGACGTGTGAAGCTTGGCAAGCCCACCTCGCACATAGACGGCGTGAGGTGTCACAAAAACACTTGTCTTATCAGTAGCGTTGCTCGTCCTGCGGGTTGAGACTTGGTGCATGCATGCCCAGCTGGTGCCACAGCGGGATTCCAGGAATTCCCATAAACGTTTGGTATGTAGTTGAGTTGTTTTCGCTCTCCGCCGGCGCGTTTGCTGCATAGCTCGCGAGCTGCTTCATCACGACCGTGCTTGCTGGATGTCGAAAAAATTCGACATCTGCCCTGAGGCTTCTCACATTCGCTCTGCGGGTGCACAAAAAACAGATGGAACTGCTGGCAGGCTCTCCTCTTGAATCGGGTGCTCTTGTCAAGGCTCAGATCCCTGCAGAACATGCTCCTCTCTTGACGAAGATCGAGAAGGTGGCATGCAATTTGTGCTAAGTTCTAGCTGAGCAGATCCAGAACAGGTCTTCAAGTCTCCTTTAATGCAGGTGCTGCAGCCGACAGTAACAGCGGCGCAGCCAGCGGATCAGGACTCCGGGGCATCTATGTGGATGGAAAACCAGTCACCCTTCAGGTACAGTACTCACACGAATCTGCGCCCAAGAATGACCTGATTCCGTTTTGTGTACTGTTCTGACTGTTTGGAAGTGACTGACTGGGGTTTGAGAGACTGCTCACGGTGTGCCTGTAGATGCCTGTAGGAGTCAATTGGGAAGGAGAGAACGTCGCCCCAGGAGATGGGCAAGGGTGTTGATTTCATGAGGGTTTCGTTGGGAGCATGTCTGCCTGGATGTGCGTCTTGCAAGTCTGCAGCGCGACCGACCCCATGTTGTGTCCGATTGATGGCAGTTTCGGTTTGAAGGGCTTCAACAGAGCACATAAGCCAAAAACTAGGATACGGACATAGGGATATCCCATATAAATACTTTATCACGAGGCCCAATAAGGTATGGATATCCTGGAACAATGCTTATGCTTATGTCCCTTTTGGGGTCCTTAGTTTCGGTTGCAGACTGCAGGACAAGGATTCGGCAGAAGGGTGAAGTTGAAACCGAAGTCAGATTGAAAGATTTCTTTTACAAAGGGCCTCCCAGATTGAAAGCAGACAGTCGTTCCATGCGAAGGGTGGTGGCCAGTGTCGTTGGAGTCAGGATTCGAATGTGACAGTGCTCTTTCCGCACATGCCAAACCTAGGTGAGGCATCAGCCTTCGCACGAGAGTACTTCGGAGACGTTTCGGAGACCTGTCTTGTTTGCCTCTGTAAGGCATTCTGCAAGGTGGTGTCCACGGTCGAAGTCGTACACAATCGTACACAGTCCAGCAAGGGGGCGAAGCATGTCTTCCGCACATCCTGCTGTGTCCCAGCTTTAGCCAGCCCAGTTCGCTAGCCGCTAGCCACAAGCCTGGGATGGTTCGCAACACATAGGCCGTGCCGCAAGCAAGCAGCACTTTGCCGCAGGGCCAAACCGACGAGGAGGAGCCAACGCCGCCAGTGGGGAGCTCATCCTTCCCGACCACCTGCGGCTGAAATGTCGGAGCGGTATGTTTTGCTTTTAGGATTGTTGAGGCCACACGGGCAAACCCAGCAGAAGTAGACTTAGTCTCGTGACCTTTCCTAGCGGCCTTGCGTGGAGTGGTGGGTACGTGGAACTCCATCAGTCCCTCGCAGGCGAAGTTGCAGGCGAAGCCGCAGGCGCAGGACGTGGCCTCGTTGTTCAGCGAATGTAAAAGATATGTTTCTCTTGCCTCCGCGTCAAGAGCGAAGAACGCATCGGGGGCAAGCGACTCTCTCACGGTGATTGGGGCATGGCATGAACATCCGGCAAGGGTGTGGGGTGAGCATGCAGGGAGAAAGAAACATGGGGTGTGTTGCTGTGTTCGGTTCGCCAGGTTCCAACGGGGACGTGCAGCAGTTTCAACGTCAGAAATTGCAACTGTTCTGATACGCAAAAGGTGGTCGTTCCATGCGAAGGGTGGTGGCCAGCGTCGTTGGAGTCAGGATTCGAAGGTGATAGCGCTCCATCAGCACATGCCAAACCTAGGTGAGGCATCAGCCTTTGCATGAGAGTACTTCAGAGACGTTTCGGAGACCTGTCTTGTTTGCCTCTGTAAGGCATTCTGCAAGGTGGTGTCCCACGGTCGAAGTCGTACACAGTCCAGCAAGTCTTCCACACATCCTGCTGTCCCAGCTTTAGCCTGCCCAGTTCGCCAGTTTGCCAGCCAAAAGCCTGTGATGATTCGCAAAGATTTGGCACATAGGCCCTGCCGCAAGCAAGCAGCACTTTGCAGCAGGACCAAACCGACGAGAAGGAGCCAACGCCGCCAGTGGGGAGCTCATCTTGCCCGACCACCTGCGGCTGAATGTCGGAGCGGTATGTTTTGCTTTTAGGATTGCTGAGGCCACACGGGCAAACCCAGCAGAAGTAGACTTAGTCTCGTGACCTTTCCTAGCGGCCTTGCGTGGAGTGGTGGGTACGTGGAACTCCATCAGTCCCTCGCAGGCGAAGTTGCAGGCGAAGCCGCAGGCGCAGGACGTGGCCTCGTTGTTCAGCGAATGTAAAAGACATGTTTCTCTTGCCTCCGCGTCAAGAGCGAAGTACGCATCGGGGGCAAGCGACTCTCTCACGGTGATTGGGGCATGGCATGAACATCCGGCAAGGGTGTGGGGTGAGCATGCAGGGAGAAAGAAACATGGGGTGTGTTGCTGTGTTCGGTTCGCCAGGTTCCAACGGGGACGTGCAGCAGTTTCAACGTCAGAAATTGCAACTGTTCTGATACGCAAAAGGTGGTCGTTCCATGCGAAGGGTGGTGGCCAATGTCGTTGGAGTCAGGATTCGAAGGTGATAGCGATCCGTCAGCACATTGCCAAACCTAGGTGAGGCATCAGCCTTTGCATGAAAGTACTTCGGAGACGTTTCGGAGACCTGTCTTGTTTGCCGCTGTAAGGCATTCTGCAAGGTGGTGTCCACGGTCGAAGTCGTACACAATCGTACACAGTCCAGCAAGGGGGCGAAGCATGTCTTTCGCACATCCTGCTGTGTCCCAGCTTTAGCCAGCCCAGTTCGCTAGCCGCTAGCCACAAGCCTGGGATGGTTCGCAACACATAGGCCGTGCCGCAAGCAAGCAGCGCTTTGCCGCAGGGCCAAACCGACGAGGAGGAGCCAACGCCGCCAGTGGGGAGCTCATCCTTCCCGACCACCTGCGGCTGAAATGTCGGAGCGGTATGTTTTGCTTTTAGGATTGCTGAGGCCACAAGGGCAAACCCAGCAGAAGTAGACTTAGTCTCGTGACCTTTTCCTAACGGCCTTGCGTGGAGTGGTGGGTACGTGGAACTCCATCAGTCCCTCGCAGGCGAAGTTGCAGGCGAAGCCGCAGGCGCAGGACGTGGCCTCGTTGTTCAGCGAATGTAAAAGACATGTTTCTCTTGCCTCCGCGTCAAGAGCGAAGTACGCATCGGGGGCAAGCGACTCTCTCACGGTGATTGGGGCATGGCATGAACATCCGGCAAGGGTGTGGGGTGAGCATGCAGGGAGAAAGAAACATGGGGTGTGTTGCTGTGTTCGGTTCGCCAGGTTCCAACGGGGACGTGCAGCAGTTTCAACGTCAGAAATTGCAACTGTTCTGATACGCAAAAGGTGGTCGTTCCATGCGAAGGGTGGTGGCCAGCGTCGTTGGAGTCAGGATTCGAAGGTGATAGCGCTCCATCAGCACATGCCAAACCTAGGTGAGGCATCAGCCTTTGCATGAGAGTACTTCAGGGAGCTTTCGGAGACCTGTCTTGTTTGCCTCTGTAAGGCATTCTGCAAGGTGGTGTCCCACAGTCGAAGTCGTACACAGTCCAGCAAGGGGCGAAGCATGTCTTCCACACATCCTGCTGTGTCCCAGCTTTAGCCAGCCCAGTTCGCTAGCCGCTAGCCACAAGCCTGTGATGATTCGCAAAGATTTAGCACATAGGCCGTGCCGCAAGCAAGCAGCACTTTGCCGCAGGGCCAAACCGACGAGGAGGAGCCAACGCCGCCAGTGGGGAGCTCATCTTGCCCGACCACCTGCGGCTGAAATGTCGGAGCGGTATGTTTTGCTTTTAGGATTGCTGAGGCCACACGGGCAAACCCAGCAGAAGTAGACTTAGTCTCGTGACCTTTTCCTAACGGCCTTGCGTGGAGTGGTGGGTACGTGGAACTCCATCAGTCCCCAGCAGGCGAAGTTGCAGGCGAAGCCGCAGGCGCAGGACGTGGCCTCGTTGTTCAGCGAATGTAAAAGACATGTTTCTCTTGCCTCCGCGTCAAGAGCGAAGTACGCATCGGGGGCAAGCGACTCTCTCACGGTGATTTGGGGCACGGCATGAACATCCGGCAAGGGTGTGGGGTAAGCATGCAGCGAGAAAGAAACATGGGGTGTGTTGCGGTGTTCGGTTCGCCAGGTTCCAACGGGGACGTGCAGTCAGAAATTGCAACTGTTCTGATACCCAAAAGGTGGTCGTTCCATGCGAAGGGTGGTGGCCAGCGTCGTTGGAGTCAGGATTCGAAGGTGATAACGCTCCATCAGCACATGCCAAACCTAGGTGAGGCATCAGCCTTCGCATGAGAGTACTTCAGAGGCGTTTCGGAGACCTGTCTTGTTTGCCTCTGTGAGGCATTCTGCAAGGTGGTGTCCCACGGTAGAAGTCGTACACAGTCCAGCAAGGGGCGAAGCATGTCTTCCACACATCCTGCTGTCCCAGCTTTAGCCTGCCCAGTTCGCCAGTACGCCAGCCACAAGCCTGTGATGATTCGCAAAGATTTAGCACATAGGCCGTGCCGCAAGCAAGCAGCACTTTGCCGCAGGGCCAAACCGACGAGGAGGAGCCAACGCCGCCAGTGGGGAGCTCATCTTGCCCGACCACCTGCGGCTGAAATGTCGGAGCGGTATGTTTTGCTTTTAGGATTGCTGAGGCCACACGAGCAAACCCAGCAGAAGTAGACTTAGTCTCGTGACCTTTTCCTAACGGCCTTGCGTGGAGTGGTGGGTACGTGGAACTCCATGAGTCCCCAGCAGGCGAAGTTGCAGGCGAAGCCGCAGGCGCAGGACGTGGCCTCGTTGTTCAGCGAATGTAAAAGACATGTTTCTCTTGCCTCCGCGTCAAGAGCGAAGTACGCATCGGGGGCAAGCGACTCTCTCACGGTGATTGGGGCATGGCATGAACATCCGGCAAGGGTGTGGGGTGAGCATGCAGGGAGAAAGAAACATGGGGTGTGTTGCGGTGTTCGGTTCGCCAGGTTCCAACGGGGACGTGCAGTCAGAAATTGCAACTGTTCTGATACCCAAAAGGCGGTCGTTCCGTGCGAAGGGTGGTGGCCAATGTCGTTGGAGTCAGGATTCGAAGGTGATAGCGCTCCGTCAGCACATTGCCAAACCTAGGTGAGGCATCAGCCTTCGCATGAGAGTACTTCAGAGACGTTTCGGAGACCTGTCTTGTTTGCCTCTGTAAGGCATTCTGCAAGGTGGTGTCCCACGGTCGAAGTCGTACACAGTCCAGCAAGGGGCGAAGCATGTCTTCCACACATCCTGCTGTCCCAGCTTTAGCCTGCCCAGTTCGCCAGTACGCCAGCCACAAGCCTTTCATGATTCGCAAAGATTTGGCACATAGGCCGTGCCGCAAGCAAGCAGCACTTTGCCGCAGGGCCAAACCGACGAGGAGGAGCCAACGCCGCCCGTGGGGAGCTCATCTTGCCCGACAAACTGCGGCTGAAATGTCGGAGCGGTATGTTTTGCTTTTAGGATTGCTGAGGCCACACGGGCAAACCCAGCAGAAGTAGACTTAGTCTCGTGACCTTTTCCTAACGGCCTTGCGTGGAGTGGTGGGTACGTGGAACTCCATCAGTCCCCAGCAGGCGAAGTTGCAGGCGAAGCCGCAGGCGCAGGACGTGGCCTCGTTGTTCAGCGAATGTAAAAGACATGTTTCTCTTGCCTCCGCGTCAAGAGCGAAGTACGCATCGGGGGCAAGCGACTCTCTCACGGTGATTGGGGCATGGCATGAACATCCGGCAAGGGTGTGGGGTAAGCATGCAGGGAGAAAGAAACATGGGGTGTGTTGCTGTGTTCGGTTCGCCAGGTTCCAACGGGGACGTGCAGTCAGAAATTGCAACTGTTCTGTTACCCAAAAGGCGGTCGTTCCATGCGAAGGGTGGTGGCCAATGTCGTTGGTGTCAGGATTCGAAGGTGATAGCGATCCGTCAGCACATTGCCAAACCTAGGTGAGGCATCAGCCTTTGCATGAGAGTACTTCAGAGACGTTTCGGAGACCTGTCTTGTTTGCCTCTGTAAGGCATTCTGCAAGGTGGTGTCCCACGGTAGAAGTCGTACACAGTCCAGCAAGGGGGCGAAGCATGTCTTCCACACATCCTGCTGTCCCAGCTTTAGCCAGCCCAGTTCGCCAGTTCGCTAGCCACAAGCCTGTGATGATTCGCAAATATTTAGCAATTTGGCATATAGGCCGTGCCGCAAGCAAGCAGCACTTTGCCGCAGGGCCAAACCGACGAGGAGGAGCCAACGCCGCCAGTGGGGAGCTCATCTTGCACGACCACCTGCGGCTGAAATGTCGGAGCGGTATGTTTTGCGTTTTGGATGGCTGAGGCCACACGGGCAAACCCAGCAGAAGTAGACTTAGTCTCGTGACCTTTCCTAGCGGCGTTTGCGTGGAGTGGTGGGTACGTGGAACTCCATCAGTCCCTCGCAGGCGAAGTTGCAGGCGAAGCCGCAGGCGCAGGACGTGGCCTCGTTGTTCAGCGAATGTAAAAGACATGTTTCTCTTGCCTCCGCGTCAAGAGCGAAGTACGCATCGGGGGCAAGCGACTCTCTCACGGTGATTGGGGCATGGCATGAACATCCGGCAAGGGTGTGGGGTAAGCATGCAGGGAGAAAGAAACATGGGGTGTGTTGCTGTGTTCGGTTCGCCAGGTTCCAACGGGGACGTGCAGTCAGAAATTGCAACTGTTCTGTTACCCAAAAGGCGGTCGTTCCATGCGAAGGGTGGTGGCCAATGTCGTTGGTGTCAGGATTCGAAGGTGATAGCGCTCCGTCAGCACATTGCCAAACCTAGGTGAGGCATCAGCCTTTGCATGAGAGTACTTCAGAGACGTTTCGGAGACCTGTCTTGTTTGCCTCTGTAAGGCATTCTGCAAGGTGGTGTCCCACGGTAGAAGTCGTACACAGTCCAGCAAGGGGGCGAAGCATGTCTTCCACACATCCTGCTGTCCCAGCTTTAGCCAGCCCAGTTCGCCGGTTCGCTAGCCACGATCCTGTGATGATTCGCACATATTTAGCAATTTAGCATATAGGCCGTGCCGCATGCAAGCAGCACTTTGCCGCAGGGCCAAACCGACGAGGAGGAGCCAACGCCGCCAGTGGGGAGCTCATCCAGCAGAAGTGAAGTAGACTTGGTCTCGTGACCTTGCGTAGAGTGGTGGGTACGTACAACTCCGTCACCTGCTTGCAGGCGCAGCCGCAGGCGCAGCCGCAGGCGCAGGACCGGTGTGGTGGTTCGGTGATGCTCCGATGTAATGAAAGTAAAGGACACTTTTCTCTTACGGATGCTTGATGAGCGAAGACCAGATGTGCTGACCAGCGCAGAGAACCGTGTCCAACAAAAACCCTCACAGAATGCTGTGAGGTAAGCGATCAAGAAACATGGAATGCGGGGTGTTGGAGGCAGTTTTGCTGCACGGAGTGTTCGCGTGCAGAACTGCACACACAGACAGAGATTCTGAGATCCTGAGTGGGTTCTCAGCCTGTCGGCCTCTTGGCATTGAGTGTTCCCTTTCCACAGACTGAGCACGAAGCTAAAGCCAACAGTCTGCATGCTTTTGCCACTGCAGCCGCGCCAGGGATTCTGGATAATTCTTTTCGCGCAGGGCCGTTGCCACAGACCGCGTCACGAAATCACACCAGAGACCTTCTCGAAGCACTCAGACTGAGCCGGCTAGGTTTCCAAGAGGACATCGAGGGCTTCAAGTCAAGCTCACCAAGACCACCCGAAGAGCACGCGCACTTGAGCTTCTGGAAGCTCTAGTTGTCCTTGTTGGCCTCGTGCGCCAATCTGCATGCTCGATCCTCGACACTACTAGTGAAAAGTGCGCTGCCTTGCATTAAGGCACATCTCCAACGCGTTTGGGAATTTTCACATGTTCAGGGTCGCAATGGCTCGTGGCCGAACCTGGGTTACAAATCAACCCCGACCTGCATCCACCGAGTATGGCATAGTTTCGAGGTGTCAGGTCGCCAAGCACTCAGAGGAGATCTGAGAAGTTGCAATGATGAAACAGTGCGCAGACCGCAAGTCGTGTTGCTTTTGTGCCAGCACGGAACCCAAACAGCGAGCATGGTGCAGTCAGTAGCAGTAGAAACGTACCGTCAGACGATCAGGCAAGCAGGGTACCCGACGAGCAAACATTCCGTAGCAATCAGCGGCTTGCGTGAGAGGCACCGTCCAGCTCGGCACCCTGGGCACAAACCCGAGCGGCGGTGCACATGACAGGGCAGGTGTGATTTGTTTTTTGGAGCGCCAGAAGTCGCACACTGCCGAATCGCGTGACGGTACTAAGGGGATGCCAGGGCATCAGTGTTTTGGTACAGCTTAGAAGCCCAAATTGCCATGGAAGTAATCATGGACAGTTTCTATAATGCTTACAGTACCATGGTGACAGAGACCTCTGCCATTGTAAACGGGTTTCTATTTTGATATGAACGCTCTAGTTTGCTCCTTGGTTGCCATGCTGGGCTCGCGCTTGAAGTGTGCCGCTGCTAGCCGTTCGATCCTGTCTCAGTAGGCGTCGTGCTAGGCCTCGCAATGTGTACAAGTGCACGCACTGCTTGCTAGCACTCTTTGCGCTCCTTGGGTGGTCTGCTGGGCCTCGCACTGGAAGTGCACCACTGTTAGATGCTCGATGCTTGCACGATGACCACTCCGCGAACTTTTTGCTTGCTCCCGAAGTGTGCACACTGTGGCTGGTGTTGTACGTGCGCCAGGGCTAGTTGCCCGGCGTGAGGCATCCTGCTGCCTTCTGGGGTGTGTACCTACCGCCGTCTTATTCAGCAAACAGAAATGGAAACACATGAGGACACGACAGATCTGTGGGAGTGTCCTGGCCTTGGGGTGCTCTGATTCCCTGACGAATCATAAGGAGCCTCAAGCTCGTCACGCTGGCAGCACCAGTTACCGAGTTACATGTGCGATTCCCTCCGGACGACAGTTGCGGAGTCCCTCGCGTGGCAGCGCCTTAGGCACGTCTGTCTAGTCGCTGCCTTTCCGCTCACCCCCGCACCCTCGTGCCAGACCCGCCCCGCGCAAGAAGAACCATTTTGGCTTTTTCAGGTCTGCGAAAACGATTCCCTTGCCTCCCCTTCACCCGTGCAAGTGCCATATCCCTCCAAAACCATCCCTCCAAAATTGTTACAATTTTAGCTCCCTCACGTTATGATTTGTTATTCAGCTGATTCCCCCGCTTGCCATGCATCCCCGAAGTGCCAGATGCTTACGACAAGTACAATTCTAGCTTTCACGTTCGATTTTAATCATCTAAGGTGTTTAGGGTTTCAGTGTTTCTCGATTTGCGCTTTGAGCCCTGTCATACATTGGTGCAATGGTTAAGAGGCCTCTTGTTGTGGCCTAAAGCAATTATTCACTTTTCGTGGTTACAGCACCGCCTCTTTGTGTTTCTGGATCCAGCACCTGCGCTGTCGGTGGCACAAGTTTCGAGGATGTTCACGGTACATACGACGTAAGTCTTCGTTGCTTGAATCTCGACACGACAAAGCCCGGCAAGCCATCTTCCACTCTGAAAAGCCTGACAAGCTCAAACGACCCGTAAGGGAGGCCACTATGCCGCAGACACTTCTCATAAGACGCCCAATGACGCAGATGTTGATGCGTTTCCTCGCTTGTCGCAGGACTTTGACGACGATTGCCCTCCTCTGGAGCTAGCCGGATACAGGCTAGTTCTGAGAGGATCTTGGAGCGGGAACATCGAGGTTGCCATCCAGATATCCGTAAAGCACTGTGCACATCTCTGTACTGCCGATCCCGCCTGCCTGGGCTTCAGCCTGCACGTGCAAAGTCGGCATGGGCCCGACGGGCGTGGGCTGTGCAGCCATTACGAGAAAGCGGGCGATCCGAAGCCCTCTGACTCTTGCACTTACGCTTTCAGCAAGGCGGGCAGTGGGGCGTGGTAAGCTTCGGCATGTCGACCTTCACGCTCCGAAGTTCTGCAGGCCGAGCAGCCAAACACCGAGGCTGCTAGCTGCCCGCATCTCTTCCCGATCTCGCTCCCTCTCTCTGTCTCTCTCCCTCTCTCATTCTCTCTCTCTGTCCGTCTGTCTGTCTGTCTGTCTGTCTGTCTGTCTGCCTCTCTCTCTCTCCCCCTCTCACACTCTCCCCTCACACCGTTTGTCTCGCTCGCATGCATTCAGCTGCACTCGCTGTACTCTTTACTCTTCAATTCCGCTTGCATCAGTGACAGGACGACGCCTCGGCAGAAGGGGGCGCATCCACGGTGACGCATTCGGAGGCCAGTTCGTGTGTTAGGGTGTGCCCTGCTGCCGGGTTCACAAGATTTCGGCGAGGATGCGCACCTTGGTTTCAATGTGTGCAATTGTAAACTATGTCGACTGGAATGATATTGGTACTGAGGGCATCCCAGGTTGAAAACAGACGGCATGCCAAGCCTAAGTGTGGCAACGGCCTTTGCACGAGAGTATTTAAGAGACGTTTCGGAAACCTGCATTGCTTCGTCTGTGCAAAACATACTGTAAGGTGGTGCCCCCAAAGTCGTACAGCGCTGCAGTCCGGCACCACCAAAGAATGTCTTCCACAGATCCTGCTATCCCAGTGCGCTAGTCATAAGCCCGTAATGATTAGCAAAGCTTTAACACATAGGCCGTGCCGCAAGCAAGCAACACTTTGCCACAGGGCCAAACCGACGAGGAGGAGCCAACGCCGCCCGTGGGGAGCTCATCTTGCCCGACCACCTGCGGCTGAAATGTCGGAGCGGTATGTTTTGCTTTTAGGATTGCTGAGGCCACACGGGCAAACCCAGCAGAAGTAGGCTTAGTCTCGTGACCTTTTCCTAACGGCCTTGCGTGGAGCGGTGGGTACGTGGAACTCCATCAGTCCCCAGCAGGCGAAGTTGCAGGCGAAGCCGCAGGTGAAGGACGGGGTCTCGTGGTTCGGCGAATCTTCAAGAGCGAAGGGTGCGTGACTGGCAAGCGAACCTTCGCGGTCTTGGGGCATGGCAAGCATAGAGCTCATGTGAGGGAAGCATGCAGGGAGAAAGAACCTTGGGTTGTGTCGACGTGTTCGGTTGCTAGGTTCCGATGAGGACGTGCCGCAGTTTCAATGTCAGAAATTGCAGACTATGTCGAAGTGAGTGATTCTATTACCTTACAGACAGTCGTTCCATACAAAAGGTGGTGGTCAGCGTCGTTGGAGTCTAGATTCGAAGCTGATAGCACCCCTTCAGCACATGCCAAACCTAGGTGTGGCAACAGCCCTTGCATGAGAGTACCTGAGAGACCAGTTGGAAGCCTGGCTCTTGCTCTCTGTAAGGCATGCAATAAGTCGTACCGGTTTGCAGTCCAGCAAGTGGGCGAAGCATGTCTTCCACAGATCCTGCTGTGTCCCAGCTTCAGCGAACTGGCTAGGCCGTGCCACAAGCAAGCAACACTTTGGCAGGGCCAAACCGACGAGGAGTCGCCAACGCCGCCGGTGGGGAGCTCGTTTTGCCCGACCACCTGCGAACTCAAATGTCGCAGCGGTATTTTGTGCTTTTTGGATTGCTGAGTCCCCACGAGCAAACTCGGCAGAAGTGGACTTAGTCCGGTGACCTTTCCTAGCGGCCTTGCGTAGAGTGGTGAATTGCACTCTCGCCCTCCGTGGGTACGTAGGACTCCATGACATGAGCTAGTTGCAGGCGAAGCCCCGGCCACCTGCACATGCAGATACCAGGTAAGGCAATAGCTTTCGCAGGTACTCCGAGTAGTCTCCCAGAGAGCAGCAACGTGCGGCTTTCGCCGACCGTGATGCGACGCACAAGCGTGCGCAAGGTCGTCCAACACAGCACGGTGCACTCCAAGGGCCCCAAGAAGGTGGCAAGTGCAAGAGCCCTAGAAAGCAGAGCCCAGTGTGGAACCCACGATGCATAGATCGGGCTAGATATCAAAACCAACGGTCTCGTCAATGGGCGAAATTACGATCAAGAAGCAAATTCGGTAGTTTGCATATCATGCAGGTGCGTGGCAGCCGTGGCGGTGACGGAAGTGGTGGTGGCAGTGCAGCGAGACCACGGAGTGGAAAGCAGGACAACTGACGAATCATGATTTGTGGAATATCGCGCTGTGCTTGATGCTGGTAATGTATGCGAGCTTGCCGTTCATCCTCGTCGCTGAGCGCACCTGGCCATAGAATTCAGAAGCGCTGCCAACTGTCAGCTGAACCGGAGGATCGCAGAATGGACACCATACCTGAACCTGTGCTTGGATCCGTGCCCATGCCATTTCACAGTTTTGCCAGTTTCTGTGACTGAGACTAGAACTCTCTTGCTGATCAGGATCAGGTACAAGATGCGCATGTCGCAGACCGTCAGGCTCGACGGGCATGCAACTAGCATTCATTTGCGGGGCATGGCATGGCAGTGTCCGAGGCAGCTGCTTTCAACGCGTTTCCAGATGCCCAGCTGCTGCCGGATCCACCGGCCACTTGGATGCACCGGGTCGTGTGAGCTTGTGCACAACATCTTGGCACCCTTTCAGGAAAGCGAGGGATACCAAGGGAAGAAGCCTGGCCCGGAAGTTCTATTTCTGGAGGACCTGTGGGATTTGAGATGGTGTGAGCAATTTGGTTTTGCTCGCATCGTGACAGGATCCGCGGAAGTGGCCCATGTCCATGAAGGCTGTGGCCATGTGCGATGTAACTAAAAACCTGAATTTTAAGTGACTGGTCTCTGTGCGCCAAGGCGCGGCGGGACCCACCAGCTGCATCTCGAAGCAGCTCCTCGGCCGAAGTTCGCCTCGGGGGTTTTGATGCAAAGTCCAAGAGTGAAAGGCTTGGCGCAGGTCCCCGCTGTGCCGGATCCTTACGAGATAAGTTGGGCCGGAGAAGTGTATGCTACAGCAGTCCTTCAGGCACGTGCATCGTCACTTGGTCACTCCAGAGTGGAAGCCTTGACTGACAATTTACAGAATGCGCCGGGGGGCTGAGACGGCTGCATTTGCTTGCGCTTGAACGCGATTTCCCCGACAAACTTTCTGACGGCCCAGGAACAGCTCCTCTGCAGAAGTTGTCAGATTGAAGCTGCTGCTTGCGAAAAGAAGTGCTGTGCCCCGATGTGAACGACGAGCTAATGTCGAATCGACTTGAATCTAGACTGGTCAAACTCAGTGTGTTGGCTGCTGCGATGGATTCAGATGGCTCGAACACACCCAATATTTGCGAATGCTGGTTACAGTCTTTTGCTTGAGATGCCCATCCACATTGATTTCCACTTGTTAGGCACTGCGGTGAACTTAGCTCTTTGTCCGCCAGCATGGAGCCCCGAGAGCAGCAACGGCATCAGCCGCGTGTTGTTGCGGCTCCTCCCGAGGCCGCAGCCTCAGCAGACCATTGTTCGTTTAACAAAGCCTCGCCACAGCCAACACTCGACGACTCAACCTGTGTGTTGACTGTTCTCAAACGTGTGTGCATGCGCTGCGTGGTTGAGGATGCCAGATGAAGGAAGAGTGATAGGTCCCAAGATCGAAGTGAGCGGTCGAAGGAGCAGAGGCTTGCGGCGAGCCGATCTTTCTACTAAAGAGACGTGCAGTGCTGGGGATCTCAGCACATCTTGCTTCACAGAACCCTATCGTGAGCACCAAAACAACCGCATCGTCAGCACCAGAAGATCCGGGGAGCGTCGGGGTCTTTTGTCCCTGTAGTGAAAGTCGATGGTGCAGCGGGCTTCGTTCAATACCTCACAATCACAACGTGAGTCTTGGATGCTAGGAGAGGTTTGGGGGCGGGGGGTGGAGTGCGTGGGTGCTCGAGGGTTTGTTTGAGATATCCCCCGCCTGGGGCTGACCGGGCTTTGCCAAACACAAGATGCCGAGCCTTGCGTTGGTGTCTCTTGCCGGGCGGCACGAGAAACGGGTTTCTTCTGATGCTGCTGATGCTGGCCCCAGGGGTGCTCCCGCTTCAAGGTCCTTTGCATTCTTGGACAGCATTGACGCTTGGAGTCTTGTGAGCGCTTGCATACTGTGGAGACCAGTTCTTCATCTCATATGTCTGCATCTGTGCATATGCACATGATTGCACATGTATACCTATAGTTCTATGTCGGTATGTCTGTAGGTATTTACGTCTGTATCTTTGTCTGTTGGTGTGTATGTTTGACTATATGCATGCATGTCTGTACTTCTGTTTGCATGTACATATCCGAAAGTACATGTCTGTTTCCGTCTGTCTGTCTGTCTGTCTGTCTGTCTGCCCCGACCTGCGCCTACCTGCGTGCCTGCCTGCCTACCTGCCTGCCTGTGTGTTTGTGTGTGTGTGTGTGAGCTTCCCTAGTGCATGGAAACAGGGGGTCATTCCCTATTTTGTTTTCCTAAGCCAGGCGACAAGAATCAAATGCTTGCACGGGGCCAGGAACCACATTCACCTGTCCTGGCCAACGAAGTCCAAGTGATGTGGGGGTGAAAACGTACCTGCGGACAAAAGCTGCGGCCCCTGAGCCAGCAAGATTAGAAGGCCCCTGTGCCAAGATCAAACGACATACAACATTCTTCTTTCTTTTCTCTTGACGTCTTCTTTCTTCTCTTGTGCCGACTCCATCAGTGTGATTCAACGAGGGTCATGAGACTCCAGAGCAGCGGCTTTCCGTCATGGCGCCGTGGTGACCCTCCGTGGGCGACCGGTGATGAACCGGATATGTTCAGAATCGTGTTCATCAGTCCTCCCGCTCTACTAGTCTATGACTGTTGCTGTCGTTCTGCGGATAGCGGCATGTGAGTCTGACGCGAGTGCAGGTGCGGTAACTTTCGGCTAGTGCACAGGTGCTACCTCGCTATTCTGGCCTTTGTATTTTATGTATGTCTCCTCTCAGGGATTGCAAGGGCATGCGAGTTTGACATGAGGGCAGGTGCAGTAACGATCGGCTACTGCCAGGCAAATGCAGCTCCTTCCGAGGAGTAATTGGCAGACCTGTTCTTTCTTGCATCTTCCCCCCCTCAGGACCCTATCACCCTTTGAGGTCCTCGAAGGACGGGGGACCTCGAGTACCATGGCTCCTGGGTGCCTTTGTGCGCAGCTGGAGGATGGCCCACTGCTGCTGGGTGCTTTCGTGCGCAGCTGGAGGGCGGAAGCCCTATTCCCGCTCCTGGCCTTGGACTCCACGTGGGTAGCTGGGCAGTCGTCACTCCATTCTTGGGTCTTTGCTGGCAGCTGGAAGGAATGTACTAACCCTAAACGTGAGATGACAACATACCGCGAATACATTGTCAACACATTGATCTAAAGCCGCTAGCGGTAGCTGAATAGCAGTTTCCTTTCATTTCCCCCATGACTGTCGCCTTTGGGGGCCGGCGCGCTCAGCTGAGGGACAGCCTTTGTAATCCCTTTCTCCACCCTGCGTAGGCTGGATCTGGGCCCTTGCTATGGCATCCCTCTGTCGCTTGTGGGGGTCTGCTCGCCCAGCTGAAGGACAGTCTTGAACCCTAACTCAAAAACCTCGCCACCACAGCCTGGGCTACCACATTGCTACTTTCCGGACGGTGTCGTCATGCTCTGCAGTTGTGCATTGCAGCCCACAGGGCTTTGTGGTTTAGTTTTGGGTTCGGTGTAGTGTAGGTTATGATGCCCTGGCGTGGCATAACAGGGAAACAGCGGATCGCCCCAACATGGGGCTGTGTGTGTGAGAACTTCCGTAGTACATGGGTACAGAGGGTCACTCCCTTTTTGTTTCCCTAAACCAGGTGACAACAATCAGATGCTTGCACGGGGCCAGGAAACATTCACGTGTCCTGGCCAACGAAGTCCAGGTGATGTAGGGGTGAAAACGTACCCTCGCGGCCCCTGACCCAGCAAGATTAGAAGGCCCCTGTGCCAAGATTAAACAACATGCAACAATCTTCCGTTTTTTCTCCTGACCTCTTCTTTTCTGCCGAATCTATCAGTGTGTCGGTCTGTGATATGTATGTATGCATGCCTGTTTATCCACGTCGTCTTTCTTCAGCCCGGTCCAGTACAGGGCTGACGGTTCTCAAATGGATACACCGTTGTTCGCATTTGGTGGTGCATGTCCGCTTCTGTTCACCTGCATGCCAGAGCATGTCTTGGTCTGGACGGTTTGGATAGGATACATTGCCACACCAAGGAATGCAAGATGATGGGGCAGACTTGCAGCCAAACCCTCAATCGCTCGCACCTCTCACAACTGCGGTTAACGCTGTAGAGGCTTCGGTGTTGTGTTGAGCGTCAGCGCAAGGTGCAGCTTCTGTGGCTGCTGTATCCTGTGGCATTCTACTGGCTGGGCGGCTGTCGTTGGAAAGCTTGATGTACATGGGCTTCTTGGCATGCGATCTACCTTAGCATGCTTGGCTCGAGTCTTGGCTCGATCCTTGCAAATTTTTGCCTGCGCAGCGGTGGACAGCTGCCGGTGCAAAAGACGCAACTCCAGGCTTCATTAGCATGTCTGGCAAGACCGCCCTCACACTGGCCGCACTGGCTTCGCTCAGTTATGTCTGCGGCTTAAGCATCATGGACAGCGTTTTCCGGACATGCCAGCATGAGGGTTTTTTGCTCAGGTCATCTGTGGACCCTTGCTATTGCAAACACGCCTGACGAAGACAGTAGGCCTTCCCTACAAGTGCATCGGACCTGGCCAAATCCAATCGCCCACTGCATGCAGGCCAAATGCTCGTGGACAGGGTCCTGAATGCCCGGTGCAACTGGGAGCTGCGCACTCAAAGAGCCACATGATACTTCTGCGCCGTCGCATCTCATCAACGACCACTTTGTCCGGCTGTTATCTCAAAGGTGGCTGCATGCATGGCATGGTCACCCAAACGAAGCACCTGACTCTTTTGCCACCGCTGTGTATCCGCCTCACGGGCTGTACGTAGAGACATGTAGAATCTATCCGATCGGGGTGCGGCTGTGGGGCTATGTGAAGTCGGTGAGGCCAACAACCGGCACGAGCAGGTTTGCTTTGGGTTTAGGGTATCTCTGGCCGCGGGCACCCGACAGCTTGTGATGGCCAAATTGGCTGGGCAATTATTGAATTCTGACAGAGAGCTTCGCCGTGGTTGTCAATCCTCGAAAGACCTCAAAGCAATGTTGACATTCGGAAAGCCTTGCGCACTACGACTTTGGAGGCCATTGGAGGGACTTCTTAACTTGGGAAAGTCCAGCACTCTGATGAACTGACCGCTGCAGCAGGGAATCAGTGGCGTGACGAGCTAGTGCAAACGGTATCATTCACCCGGTCACCAGTTTCGAACCAGCCTGCTGCCTGCGGACCACACTTCACGGCTCGACATGGTGACTCTTTGCAAGTTCGTGGGCAATTTGATGGTCTCATACCGTTGAAGTCTGTGTTGCGTCAGGGAACCTCCGCACTTTTGTGCGTCCAGCTGTAAGTCCTATTAGTGCTTGTATGCGTTAATAAGAGCCGGTTAGTGCTTGTATGCGTTAATAAGAGCCGGTGTTGAGACTGTCGGATGCATTTGAAGACGGATGCTGCATGCTCGCGATTCGGTGTTATTGTTATCAGGTGGTTGTGGTTGTAATGATGGTTGTTGTAGTGGGAGTGGTTGTTGTGGTTGTTCTTGTTCTGGTTGTGGTTGTGGCTGTGCCTGGCAACCTGAACCCCTTTAAACCGTGTCCCCTTTGCCCAGGACATTGTCAGGAGACCACCAGGCTGAGCAAGCACGTCGCAAACCCTTAGCAACCACTGAGCAAGACTTTATCTCCTGGCGAGGATTAGGTGCTTGGAACGGCTTTGGCAACAAGCGGAGTTTCACTTTGTTACCACGGTGTTTGCTAAGGCCTTTGGTCTTGTAGGGGGGTTCAGGTTTCCACATTATTGTGGTTGTTGTGGTGGTTGTTGCGGTGATTCTTGTGTTTGTTGTGGTGGTTGTTGTTGTTCCTCCTGCTGCTGCTGCTGCCGCGGCGGCTGCTGCTGCTGCTTCCTCGCATGTTTCCGGTAGTTGCCTCAGGTCAGACACACTTCGCAGCTTTTGCGAAGTTTCGCTTTGGCTGATGGTTGTTTGGTCAACCTATGCCTCTTCGTCGCAGAGTGAGCAAACCAGCATTGTAGCCTCGAACGTCCTGCAGCCACTGACCGTGAGACACTTCGAGGTAAGTTCTGAGGGAGGACCTGTGGGCCTTGTAGCAGCTCTGACATTTGGTACATGTGCAGGCCTGGATGGCGTTTATGCTGTCTTGTTGCCTCGCCTTGATACAACCTCAAGCTTGCAAGCTCGTTTGTAGCAGGGGCCGTGCTTGCGGTGTTGGGAGAACTTCTGCAGCAACCACTTCGCAGCGTCGAAAGGCCAGCACTGCAGAGCAGGGCAGAGCAGACTCCCTTGCCTCGGACGTTCGCGCCATTCTTTGCAGGGTGTTGAGAGAATCCTCAGCCCGCAGAACCCGGCTAAAGACAACCGAAGAGGAGGCAGCGAGAGATTCGTAAAATGTTCTTCGGGCTGGACAGACATTGATAGTCTCTGGGTGCCAGGAGGAGAGCTTCGTCACGTCGAACATTGTCATGCTTGTGCTATTTGGTCCTACTGCACCTTGCTGAGACGTTTAGCCCGTTCTCAAATCGCCTCGAAAAACAGCAGCGGTTGTGCTGCGTTTTCGGTGAGGTAGCTTGTCGGCAGCCGTGCCTGCAGCACCCGAGGTCGTGAGCACTGTCTATGACAATTGTGACTTGACGCATTGCTCGATGTTTTCAACGGCACTTCTGGTAACCTTCTGGTATAGCCGGTATAGCTTGAGCTACTTCGCTGTCAGCAGTAGACGTGCACCAGGCAGCGACATGGCAGTGCTGGCTGGCATGCTGGTCCACCACCCAGTCATCTTCTGGCAGAACCTTTGACAGAGTTGTCTGCCTCGACGGGCATCGTCGGACCTGCTACCAAGTGACAGTATCGTCCTGTGGAGGTCCTTGGTGGTGTCACCATACTCGCAGCCGCGCGGGTGTGTCAAGCCACCCGGCATAGACGAAGTCAGATTGTCCGTTGAGATGTCAGGACTGCAGCCCATATGAGAGCCACGGCCCTCGGAAGGGCTGCAAAGCTTGCGTGCGCTGACAGGCCTGGGAGCCTACCCGGCATTTGGGCACCATCCTGCAGGTCGGGGGGCCCGAAGTGAAAGAGTCCTGTAGAGGTTTTGGCTCCGGCAAGTGACCGTGTGGAAGGCACGGATCCTCAACACATCGGAGAACTGGTTGCAGCACCCTGGCCGCTCCGCACTTGCCCCTTGTCCAAGACTGCTGCGCCTGTCTCCACAGTGTCCCTTCACAATGCAAGACGGGCACGTCTTGAGCTCAGGAGTCGACGTTCTTTTGCGCCGTCGTCATGGGAGTGTATGAGCTTCATGGCGACCTGACTGTCGCCGACGGTTTTCGGCACTCCGTTTCCGGGATCAAGAGCGAAGATGAGCGAATCGAGTTGTGCCCAGGCGATGCGCTGTTCGCACTGCAGACGGGCTTCCTGTCTGGCATGTCGATTGTCATCGCGAGTGATGCTCGGCAGAGCTCGATGCCACGCGGGTGAAGACAACTTGCAGTGGGAAAGCAGGTCATTGTCATCTGACCGAGTCAGGAAGTGTTTGCAAATGGCATCAACTTCGACATCAAGGTTGGGAAGCACCCAGACGAAGCTGCTGAAGCTAAAAATCCGACTCTGTCGCGACGCGTTGTTCGTAACTCACTGGCTTCATCCTGTTTCCTCGAGCAGGTTGATGATTCCAAGCAGACATCAGTGCCGCCAGTGATATTGGGATATGTCAGTTTTATGGTTCTTGCCGCTTGTCGTGACTGTGCATTCGGAGCATGGCTGCTTTGACAGGATATCCGCATCCGCCTAGGTTTGCTTGAACGCTCGCGAGCACGAGACGGTGAACAGCGCGGCTCTGTCTGTGATCGTCAACAGCCTTCTTTGGGCATCTCGGCAGCTCATGGTCTCCCCAACCCAACAGAAATGTGGAGAAGAGACCACCGGAACACCGCACTTTTGACTTTTGTCGACCTGTCAGGTGATCCTTGGCAGATGCTGCAGTGCAATCGGAGCAGGGCAGCATCTAGGCAGGGGCCCAGAAAACAACTTGCACGGACATCTATGCGCAAATCGCGTAGCAGCCTCTCAGGTCAGATCGTCAACCGCAGGCCTGGAGACAACATCCCTAAGCCGCATCGCGTGAAAGTCCGGGGCTGTCTGCAGGGCGTTGGATGCGGCTGAGAACTGGACCAAGTTTCCTGCACGATCTGCTGCGGAATGCTCTGCACCTTGCCATCAAGCATCAAAAGCATCCTCACCTCTTACCTCTGTGAACGCAGGTGTGTTCTTATTTATGGGCTGCCGCCACTGCCGCCGACCCCAAAAGGAGAGAGGTGACTATCCAAGGAAGGATCTTAATCATAACGAATACAGCCTTCCTGCGAAACTCGGTTCTGTCTGCCTCTGAGTCACAAGGTTGCGGAAACATGTGCACACAATGTCCGAGAGCTGAGCACTACTTCGCCGCATCAGTCATGTGCTCATGCTACTCGTGCCAGTTACAAGACTTGCAGGCCCTATCTTATAATTTCATGTCACTTCCTCCGTATCAGTTGGCTGCTTTGAAGACCAGTGTAGTTGTGGCCATGGGGTGGTACGACAAAAAAGTCGCGCGCGCGCGGTGGCGCATCGCAAGGCCGGCAGTAGCGGTGTGGGCGGTGTGGGCGGTGGGGGCGGTGTGGGCGGTGTGGGCGGTGTGGGCGGTGTGGGCGGTGAGGGCGCGGGGGGGGCCGGGCATACATTGGCAGCCTTTAAATACTCTTTAAACACCTACAAATACAGCGGCGAAAGTCTCTTTGAACAGAGCAGTGGAGGCGATGGGGGCAGTCAGGTACATAGGCAGGTGAGGGCAGTGAGGGCGGTGTGGGCGGTGGGGGCGGTGTGTGCGGTGGGGCGCGGGCAGGTCCGGGCATACATTGGCAGCCTCTAAATCCTCTTGAAACACCTACAAATACAGCGGCGAAAGACTCTTTGAACAGAGCAGTGGAGGCGGTGGGGGCAGTCTGTTACATAGGCAGGTGAGGGCAGTGAGGGCGGTGAGGGCGGTGTGGGCGGTGCAGTCTGGTACATAGGCAGGTGAGGGCAGTGAGGGCGGTGTGGGCGTTGGTGGCGGTGTGGGCAGTGGGGGCGCTGGGGGGTCCGGGCATACATTGGCAGCCTTTAAATACTCTTTGAACACCTACAAATACAGCGGCGAAAGACTCTTTGAACAGAGCAGTGGAGGCGGTGGGGGCAGTCTGGTACATAGGCAGGTGAGGGCGGTGGGGGCGGTGTGGGCGGTGGGGGGCAGGTGAGGGCAGTGAGGGCGGTGAGGGCGGTGTGGGCCGTGGGGGCGGTGTGGGCGGTGTGGGCGGTGTGGGCGGTGAGGGCGCGGGGGGGTCCGGGCATACATTGGCAGCCTTTAAATATACTTTTTAAACACCTACAAATACAGCGGCGGAAGTCTCTTTGAACAGAGCAGTGGAGGCGATGGGGGCAGTCTGGTACATAGGCAGGTGAGGGCAGTGAGGGCGGTGAGGGCGGTGTGGGAGGTGGGGGCGGTGTGTGCGGTGGGGCGCGGGGGGGTCCGGGCATACATTGGCAGCCTCTAAATACTCTTGAAACACCTACAAATACAGCGGCGAAAGACTTTTTGAACAGAGCAGTGGAGGCGGTGGGGGCAGTCTGTTACATAGGCAGGTGAGGGCAGTGAGGGCGCTGAGGCCGGTGTGGGCGGTGCAGTCTGGTACATAGGCAGGTGAGGGCAGTGAGGGCGGTGTGGGCGGGCATGCATTGGCAGCCTTGAACATAGTCTTTAAACACCTGCAAATACAGCGGCGAAAGACTCTTTGAACAGAGCAGTGGAGGCGGTGGGGGCAGTCTGGTACATAGGCAGGTGAGGGCAGTGAGGGCGGTGAGGGCGTGGGGGCGGTGTGGGCGGTGGGCGCGCGGGGGGTCCGACAGAGCAGTGGAGGCGGTGGGGGCAGTCTGTTACATAGGCAGGTGAGGGCAGTGAGGGCGGTGTGGGCGGTGCAGTCTGGTACATAGGCAGGTGAGGGCAGTGAGGGCGGTGTGGGCGGTGGTGGCGGTGTGGGCAGTGGGGGCGCTGGGGGGTCCGGGCATACATTGGCAGGCTTTAAATACTCTTTGAACACCTACAAATACAGCGGCGAAAGACTCTTTGAACAGAGCAGTGGAGGGGGCGCGGTGTGGGCGGTGTGGGCCGGTGTGGGCTTGGTGAGTGGCGCGGGGGGGTCCGGGGCATACATTGCGCAGCCTTTAATTACTCTTTAGAAAACACCTAACACAAATTTACAGCGGCGCGAAAGTCATTCGTGAACGAGGCAGTGGTCTCGCGAGGGGGCAGTCGTTTACATAGGCCAGGTGAGGGGCAGGAGGGCGCGAGGCCGGTGTGGGGCGGGTGTGGCAGTCGGTTTACCATAGGCAGGTGAGGGCAGTGAGGGCGGTGTGGGCGGTGGTGGCGGTGTGGGCCGTGGGGGCGCTGGGGGGTCCGGGCATACATTGGCAGCCTTTAAATACTCTTTGAACACCTACAAATACAGCGGCGAAAGACTCTTTGAACAGAGCAGTGGAGGCGGTGGGGGCAGTCTAGTACATAGGCAGGTGAGGGCAGCGAGGGCGGTGAGGGCGTGGGGGCGGTGTGGGCGGTGGGCGCGCGGGGGGGTCCGGGCATACATTGGCAGCCTTAATACTCTTGAAACACCTATACAAATACAGCGGCGAAAGACTCTTTGAACAGAGCAGTGGAGGCGGTGGGGGCAGTCTGGTACACAGGCAGGTGAGGGCAGTGAGGGCGCTGAGGGCGGTGTGGGCGGTGGGGGCGGTGTGGGCGGTGGGGGCGCGGGGGGGTCCGGGCATACATTGGCAGCCTTTAAATACTCTTTAAACACCTACAAATACAGCGGCGAAAGTCTCTTTGAACAGAGCAGTGGAGGCGATGAGGGCAGTCTGGTACATAGGCAGGTGAGGGCGGTGGGGGCGGTGTGGGCGGTGGGGGGCAGGTGAGGGCAGTGAGGGCGGTGTGGGCGGTGTGGGCGGTGGGGGCGGTGTGGGCGGTGTGGGCGGTGTGGGCGGTGAGGGCGCGGGGGGGTCCGGGCATACATTGGCAGCCTTTAAATACTCTTTAAACACCTACAAATACAGCGGCGAAAGTCTCTTTGAACAGAGCAGTGGAGGCGGTGGGGGCAGTCTGTTACATAGGCAGGTGAGGGCAGTGAGGGCGGTGAGGGCGGTGTGGGCGGTGCAGTCTGGTACATAGGCAGGTGAGGGCAGTGAGGGCGGTGTGGGCGGTGGTGGCGGTGTGGGCAGTGGGGGCGCTGGGGGGGCCGGGCATACATTGGCAGCCTTTAAATACTCTT